CAATTCGGGTATGTTTCAATGGCAGAAGTGGAGAATTGCTTTAAAATAATAAAGAGATTTGCATCAGTGTGAAAACGAAAGCCTGTCTTTTAAAATTGTCTTTATCGCTTTTGTTTTTGCACCGACCCAAATCCCTTTATTAGAGTAAACTAAAGAACTAAACAGGCTGAAACAGCGGATTTATATCGATTGTGATTGGTCTTTAGGTCTTCTCGATGAAGAGGAATCGGCAAAAGATCCGTATGCTACCGAGGATAATCAATCCGCAGATTCCGAAGGAACAGTCGCGAAATATTCAGCCACAGAAACAGCTGAGGGAGCCAGTTTAGAAGCCCTGGATAATGTTGCTCAAACTTGGACTGGCGCTTATGGCTATGAGTATAAACCAGGTAAAACATACCTAAAGCGCCTGTACTTTTTCACTATACTAAGCTCTGTCTGTATTCAGCTGATGATGTCGTAACAAACCCTGGAAAGGTTGATGAAACAGTGGAACATCTATTAATGCCAGTCAAGCCATTGGTTAAACCTTGTGAGCTCGCGGCTGGTTTCTCTGACAGCATTTGCACTCCAGGTAGCATTTTCCGCGACAATACTTTTATCTTCATGTAAACTTTCTGATTTTTTTATATCGCAGTGGAGGTGATGAGCCCCGTTCCGAACCCGAACGGCCCAGTTCTTCTGCTAAACTTAGCGGATGTCGCAACCGAACAGTGGTATCAAGTGTGCAACGAGCGTAAAAGCAGCGACTGTGAGGAGGAGAGATCTGATTCTGATAGGCTGATCATTAACACATCGGAACCTGCAGGTGAGTCTGTTTAGGAGCGCTCTCATGCTCAGCAGTTTACGTTTGTAAGTTTCAGCGCCTATCCGAAGTCGGACAGTGATTCGGCACAAAACCAAGGCGGAGCTGAAACAGGAAATACCAATCGACGAAGAAACTGATGTGGACGATGACCTGCCGCTTGCGTATCGCCTTCAAACGTAACCTCACCACTCACCCCTCCTTTCGCCCTTAATTAAGTTGTGTTTTCTTGCAGAACTGCTGGAAAGTCGCAGAATAGAAGACGCTCGACTGCCGGTAAAAGCCCGCCAAAGTCACCGGCTCACAAAAGGTACGACATCTAAAAAATCACCAAATTTTTGAGTCTAAGTAGCTGGTTTTTCAGAGAGCTTAGCGCCGCTGCTAAGCCGCGAAAGTCCTCAGCTAAAGCGCCTGCCATGGAGGAAGTCGCCGTGTTTTACACCTCAAAGCTGCGGTCCAGATCCGCAAGAACTAGCAAAGATGAGAACATCGTTCCGGTACCCGTGAGCGAACTGCCGACGCCGGAGCGGAAAGACGAAGAAAAAGCGGTACGGTCCAGGGGGCGCCCGCGGAAGAAATCCACTATAAAAAGGGCGTTAGAAACCTCCGATGAGGACATGCGAAGTAGGCCGCCGGTGGTTTCCTTTTGCCAGCCTGCTCAGGAAGAAAAGAAACAACCTCAGCTGAGCAAAGTCGTGAGTCGACTGAAGGAGAACTTGAAAAAACCGAGCCTTGACAATTCGGAGTTCGAACCCGCGAAGAAGCGCAAAGCGACCAAAAGGTCTTCTTCGAGCAGTGTGCGCCATGTAACTGCCGAAACGTCCAATTCGTCTGAGATTGGCCGAGAGAACTGTAAATCTGAGAAGTTCCAGAAAGGTTTGCTGCTTCAAAGCGAGATTTCGAACGAAGTGGACGAAAATGTCAGTAAACCGTCCTCAGTCGCTTGCGATACT